TTATGAAAGCAAGGAAAGAGAAAAATAAAACTGGGTGGTTCTATGCACAGTCCCGATTTCTTTGCTTTGCAGACTGTCTTGTTAATGTCACTCTGACTCCCAACTTATAATTGTCCTTTTAAAAGATGTGGACACATTTTTTTTTTTTTCGTTTTGTAAACAGATAAATCTAAACCTTAGTGTCTGTTCTTATCTGTTTTAATCAGATGGTAATCATTTCTACAAGGTTGATGCACCGTCGTTTAAGTTTTAATAAGTATGGAAAAAGAAAAATGAATCATGTGTCGATCCATTCATCCACTAATCTTTCCAGCCATCCTTTGTTTCCTCCTTCACATTTAAAGCCTGTCCACTATAGCCAGAAATTTGACTGATAAATCTGGAAATGTAAGCAGGTTATGTGGGAATCTTGCCTGCGGGTGGAGCTGTTTCATGGATAAGTTGCAGAAACAGAATTATTTCATCGGTGCAACAACTTATCTTGACTTACCAGGTACCACAGGGAGAAGTCAGAACGGCTGCTCTAACTAGGAAAACAACCGTTTATTTTGTAGATTTGGCTCAACAGAGGTTGAAGTTATGATCTTCAGGGTAAAAAGGATGTAGTTTTAACATTCTCTGAAGGGATGTTTTCTGTTATGATTTTGTTTGTGCAGGATCTGAATGAAAAAAATCCAGATGAGAAAAATCCAGATGAAGAAGAGGAGGAAGAAGAAGCCTTCCAGGAAACAGAATGGGTTGATATCACAGAGGGATTCAGTGTCCGACAGCAGAAGAAGGTGAACTTCATGTTTCCCCTTTGCATCCACGACTTTCTTCAAAATCCAAAATAATGAAATCTTTTTTTACTGTAGTGCTTTATTTTATTTTTCTTTGACATTTTTTCTCCTAAATGTTTTTGTCGTGTATCACTTCTCTGTGGGACATAAACAGTTTTCATGCAGGACTGAGATTCTTGAAGCATGATTACTTTGAGTAATTAAAAAAAAAGTATGAAGTACAAATCTAAAACTAAAATAAAAAATGATCTAATTGCTTTGGTCAAAATGAATTTTAAGCGTACTTGAAACTTGTCATATTAGGATGTCATCAAAAAGTTATTTCTATTGAGGTTCATTTCAGCAAATTTTATCCTTCCAACTTTCAAATATACTTGGTTATAACACTAAACAAACAGCCTTCTTCTTATTCCAACAATAAGACTTTATTTTATTCTCCTTGTCTGCTCAAATGCATACAAATCAGAATATGAGGATCTTTTAAGTTTGCTAATTTGATACATTTAGCAGTTGGAAGAAAAGAGTTTTAAATATTTACCTGATTTTCGTGTGTTTCCCCTTCTATGCAGTGGCCGTATCGGTCTCGATCTCTGTGCTGCACCCTCTGCAAGTACTCATCACAGAACCTCTACAACTTCAGAAGCCACGTCTCTCGCTGCCACGCATACGTCCAGTCGTACTGCACACTGGCACCCTGCTCTCAATGCCTCTTTATCGCTCACCCCAAGATCGTCAAGAAGCACATGCTCTTCTTCCACGCCAAACTGCCCGTCCCAAACATACAGCCGCAGAAGGAGAGTGGGTTCACCCATCGCTCCGCTGAGAGGTATCAATGTCGAAGGTGCGGATTCCCGACCTCCTCTATCTTCGCGATAAAGAAGCACATCATTCTCAAGCACCTGGATCACCTGGCAGATCAATACATTGGTTACAGATTGCACCAGCAGGGGACAACAGCAGTAAAGATCTACTGCTGCAAGGTGTGCAAGGTAAACACTGGAACTCTAGACCAAATGTTACACCACATGCTGGTGGAACCAGCACACTATACAGTCACCATACAGGTGCAGAGTGTCATTACGGAAAACAAGAACTACACTGTTAAACCAACTTCTAATGGAAATGGATTGTTGGTCACATTCCCAAATATTGCTCCCAAACCACAGGCGCCTCAGATATTTCCCAGTAACCAGCTGGTTTTACCCAGTAATGGCCAACCTGCTGGGACTGTTGTGGCAGTGCAGCAGCTGCAAGGCAACACGAACAGTGCAACTCTGATCTGTACCCCTGGAACCAACCAAGCTTTTCTCCCTCCACAAGCGTCGGCGCTAGTGCAGCTTGCTAGCGCAGAAGCTAAAGGTTTACTCCAGCCTGGTGCGACGATAGCCCTCCGTAGCGCTCTGCCCCAAGGGTCGTCCGTCGTCCAGCTTCCCACGGTGTCCAATGTGTCTCTGAAGCAGACACCCGTAACCTTACCCTCTCCTATAGCTCAACCACAACAGCCTCAACCACAAGGGCAGCAAGTGGTTCTTCCACCAGCACCTCAAACCAGTCTGGCTGCTGGAGTGGCTCCTAAGCCTATTGTGGCTGCACAAACTTCACAAGCAAACCACACTCCCCTACAAGGAACCATGCTCACTTCACAGTCCCTGCTGAGTCACCTTATCCCCACCGGCAACAAGGTGAATGGCATGCCCACGTACACGTTCGCGCCGCTCGTCTCTCAGAAAACATCCACGCCTCTCAAGCCTGTTGAGCAATTGAGTAACTCCACGCCACAGACCAAGAGGTGGATCACCTGCCCCCTCTGCAATGAACTTTTCCCCTCAAACGTCTTCGATATGCACATGGAGGCCGCCCACCAGACCAAATCTACCACTTCCAAGTCAGAAAGTGTTGCCGCCCGAGCAGCATTCCTGAAGAAAATGCCCGACAAGACTGTCAAATGTCTCACATGCAAAATTTTGCTAACAGAGCGGGTCGTCTTCCAACACTTGCTGCATGGGCTCAATTGTTTGTACTGCTCAGCTTTGTTCTTTTCGGTCAAACAGCTTGTAGACCATGTAAAGCTGCACAATCCAGCCAGCAAGGTGTATTGTGACTTTCTTAGGCAGAAGTACAGAATCTACTCCAAAGGTAACGGTGCCATTATCTTCCCTCATTTTGACGTGAACACCACCGCGCCAAAGGACATCCTGGGAGAAGCGGAGGTCAACCTCGCCCTAGTCACAAGTTCTCTCGACCTCATTTACTTCAAGTTGCAGGCCAGCAGCCCACAAGACGTTTGCCCTGTTCCCATGAAAATCCATAGCGCCTACTGTCCCTTCTGCAACGAGAGGTTTCAGAATCAGTCCGATCATGTTCTGCACTTGAAACAGAAGCACTTTGTGGCGCCAACCATTCATGCCATCTTGAAAACTGAGGCGTTCAAGTGCATATACTGCAACGGGGTGTACACAGGAAAAGTCACTCAGCAGGCTGTGATGCTCCATATCCAGCGGTGTCGCTGTTCTCCGAAACCACTTCCACTGCCGCCACCTCCACCGATCCCTAAGCCCCTGGCTCCCACAGCTGTGCTGCAGCATCAACCACAACTAAAGCCAGCGCCGCAGGTCAGTCAGCAGTCGGGACTTTTCTTCCTCCAAGTGCCGCAGGGAATGACGGTGACACGGGCCATAGCTCCAGCTCGTGTGATCCGAGCTCCAGCCCCTGCGGATCCCCCAGAAACCGAGGCAGAGCGGCAGCTGAAGAGGAAGCTGGAGGCAGCTTTGAAGGAGGCCATGGAGGCCAACAGGCGAGAGCGAGAAGAAAAGGCCGCCATGCGCAAGAGGAAAGAGCAGGAGAAGCGGCAGCGGGACAAGGAGTTGCAGGAGAAGCAGGAATCCCCGCCAGAGCCTGAGATCCCGAGCGACCCTACGGTCAAGCTAGTGTTGGAGCCAACCGCTGTGGAGCGACGGTGCAGTGACGAACGCAGAGAGTTTATCTCAAAGTATTTCAACATGAACCCCTACGCCACCAAACCGGAGACAGAGGAGTTGTGCAGAAGGCTGTCTATAACCAAAGCAGAGCTGGCAGGCCACTTCAGCAAGAAGCGCAGCAAGTGCATGAAAAGCCTCAAGAGGAACACGGCCGCCATCTTACTCGGCTTTAACATGAGCGAGCTGAGTAAAGTGAAGCACAAGCTACTGATCCCGGAGCCAGAGGCGCCGGGCGACATCGTGGAGTCGGACGACGAATCTGAAGAACCGGAAACGACTGAAGAAGCGGCGGAGCAGGAACCGACGACGACTGTAGAAAGGGCGAAGGATGTGGAGGAGGAACTAGAACCGATGGATGTAGGCGACGCAGAGACGGAGCAGGAGCCGATGGAATGAACCGAGATATTTCAGATATGGACCAAAAATAAGCAAATCAAGTAACATTCAAAACAGAAACTGTTAATTCCCAATGACTTTTCTGTTGAGTCATAGTCTCATTTCATAATATCTGAGTCATCCTGAAACAGAGGGCGGTTTGTTGATGTAGCCCTCACTAATAGTGCTTTGGTCCACCTCAGTATGTCATCAGTGCTCCTCGTTTTGATTTCCACTCGGATGAAATGACAGGATGCAGTGAGGCTTTTCTAAAACACAATGATACTGAGATAATGAACAACATCTCCATGGATTCAACATTTACCACAAACCCAAGTTCTCAGCTGCCTTTTATACCCTTTATTTAAGACCACTCACTCAAATATTTTGAATTTACTTTGGTTCAGTTTATATTTTTTTATTATTATTAGACCTTGCCTTATGGGTTTGACCTTTTTTTCTGTTGTGTGACCACTGCTGCTTTTGTATTTTTCACCATTTTTCACAGACCAAATTCTCCTCAGAATCTTCCCTCCAAATTTTAGTTCACTTTTTTTTTTTTTTTTTTTTTTTTTAGCCTTAATTTGAATTCTCATTTTCTGTCAGAATAACTTTATTTGTGCCATTGTGAGATCCACACGTCTGCATAGACTTGAGCAAAGATTAAACTAAACTCACACATTGCTGACTAATCCTGCGCATTGGTCTTGTTTTGTTTTCCTGGCTGCTTCTTTTTGTATTAGTATTTTCTATAACTACTAGAGTATGAAAAGTGTTGGGTTGGATATAAAAGTAAAACAGTCTGTCCAAGGCCACTGTGGTGTAAAAAAAAAACAAAAAAAAAAGAAAGAATAAAAAAATAAAGTGGTTTCTTTTTAAACAAATGATTCTTTTGTTTATTTAATAAAATATGGTCATGTTAGAGTATTTTCAGAAGACATCATGTAATTTCAGCCATCCGTTATTGGCAATTATATACTTTTAATTTTACTATTCATCAGGCTGTATGCTGGGCCACAATCTTGAGATTAGATGCTTATAATATGAGAAGGCAAACTAATTTTATTAATGTGCTTTTGTTCACTTAATTCCAGGTGGCTGCGTAACGGCTCTAATTTGATCCAGGACTGAGGGGCCGGAGTAGTTGTTGGTCTGAATGGCCTCCAGCCTCTCCAGGTATTTCCTTGGAAGCCCGTTCTGTTCCGCTCCCTGGCACACCACCTTCAATGTGGAGAAACAAACAATATTTACGCAAAAATATTTAGTTAGATTTTTTTTCCCCTGGAAAGTTTTTAGGTGTTTCTCACTTGGAACCTCTTGATTAAATAAAAACCAAAAAGAAGTTCAAGTTCTCAGGACACCTGTTTGTACTGTGGGGATGGAAGGCTGGCGTGGAAATTGTTCATCTGGTACGTCCTGCATTGTATCACACCGTCATCGGTCTCAACAGAAACCTCCAGCGGGGAGTACACTCCACGGCTCACCCCTTCCTGACTTCAAAGGCGCATGAATAGAAAAAACAAACAACACATTTTTATTTAAATGGAACCAATTTAATTGATGAACTTTTAACCAGATGTGCATTTGTGCCTCTCACTTGTCTAAGGTTGGGAGGTTTTCGTTGCTCAAAGTCCAGACGACGCCCCACACCTCTTCGCCCTGACAGGACTCGATGGTGGCCACTCCGCCGTGCCAAAGGTTTTCCGCTTTTTCCTCCCACAAGCCAAAGTTCAGCTTGTAGTCCTGTGAAAACACGTAACCAAAAGATGCAAAATTAACATTAAATCTGGGTTGACTTTTCTAAAATTTCAAACCGTTTTCTAAAATACTGTATATAATTATTTTTGTTTCTCCCCTGTCTGACAGCAATTTGAATTTGAATCCCGACCTGGAATTTACACTAGAATGTAGAAAGTAGAATGGTCAGACAAAAAAACCCTTTAAAATAGTTATTTTATGAGTTTTTGGAAATTAATGAAGACTTTACAAATCACAAAATATGTTTTATGCGATCTGTGATTAGAGTTAAATACTTCTGTTCAGACTAGAGATCTCTGAATAATGTAATTTTCAAGCAGGACCTGGAGTAAGATAGCTTTAGTCAAGAAAATAATTTTTTAATTATTTTTCTTTTTTAACTCAAATCAGAATTTTATTGAATGAGTAATTTATACAAAAATCTCAGTTAAGTTTTACCATTTCAATTTGAAATGATCAAGTGAAATAAAACATTATACCAATGCAGCTTAGAGTAAAAAATGCTGCGAAATAAGCCTTTAATTAAGTGCCAAGTCCAGATTTGATACGAAACGGAAGTTGGTTCCCGATTCCGGAAATGGCTAAAGGGCGATCCCACCTCATTTTCCCACTGCTTTGGGCATCTTTTATCTACTCCAGTTAAACATCTACAACACCTTGACTCTTCAAACCTGGACTAGATCATTGTCATCTAATGGCAGAATATTTAAAAACAATTGTGTGATTTGTGAAACTTCAATAAAATCCATTTTTGTATGCAGCTGGAACACACTAGAACTGCTGCAGCTGTTTTATTTTTATTTTGGATCTTTAATTTCGTTGTGCGAAATAGAAACATGATATAAAGTCTAATTTTAATCAAAGGTGCTGAACGTAGTGAGAAATTAGGTGGAATAGCCCTTTAGCCGAGCTTCAATCGGAAACAGACTTCAGCTCCGGTTCCGATTCGACTACTGACTTCAGTTTCTTTCATGAAACCCAGATGAAGATGAAGAGCAGCGGTTCGTTTCAGCTTTTTGAGCAACCGTAACGTGCTTCGTTACGGTTGCTCAAAAAATCTGATATGAAATCCAACATAATGGTCGTCTATCGTAAATGCACCGCGTTGAGCAAAAGATTCACGCTGTAACGTTTGTGAATTTCAATGTACAAACCTTTAGTCGACCTGTGCAGACGAACGCAGCCGACGGATTCTTTAAATGCAGTCTCTCCCTCAATAAGTTGCTTCCAAACGCAAAGTACATAAAATTACCGTCGCTGGTACCTGACATTTCTAGAAAACAGATAGCAATTAGTAAAAATATGTAGGAACTATATGACACACACATCGGAACGAGTTTCTATTGGGCAAAAGGATTAGTGAGAAATTCTGTTCTTCTTTTGTGGCGGTTGGAAGCAACTTATTGATGTGCATTACCGCCACCTACTGGAATGGCGTGTTTCCAGTAGGAAACACGCCCCCAACAAAAAGAAAAAAAACAATAATAATGATAATAAATAAAACTTATATCCTACCAATTTTGTTTTCTAAAGATAATTTATTAATCCTGTTCCCCTGTGAAAACGGCTCCCCCTGTGTCGGGAGCGCATATTGCAGCCAGAGAGGCGGATGTCTGAGTTACCATCGAGTAATGGCTTTTATGGTATGGCAAGCCGTTTCAACATTTCTGTTTAAACGGAACCAATTTAATTGGTAAACTTTTAACCAGCGGTGCATGTGTGCCTTTCATTTCTCTAAGGTTGGGAGGTTTTTGTTGCTCAAAGTCCAGACAGCAGCCCACACCTCATCGCCCTGACAGGACTCGATGGTGGCCACTCCACCATCATTTTCTTTTTAATTTCGAAAGAGAGAAAAAAATGTAATCGTTTCAACATTTTAAAATCAATTACATTTCCTTTTATGATATATTTTGTGGTCTTGCATCTACAGGATTTTATGACACTGATTGAATTTTACAATTTTAATAAGTCTCCCCTAGTTGTCAGTGCAAGCATCCCCCCAAAAAAGAAGCCAATTCTTCTTTAGTGCAAAAACACTTTATTAAACATCATTTTGAAAAAGAAAACGTTTTGACTTTTTTGTGGTCTTAATGTACAAAAAAAGAAAGAGAAGCACACTGAAATTCACAAATCGTTTCCTCTAAACGAAAGGAATAAAAAAAAAGAAAAGAAAAAAGAACATCCTGTACAAACAGTGAGGTGATGAGAATGAACTGGAAGACCAGAGAATCATCTCCTTGGTCCTCCTCGCCCTCGCCCCCGTCCTCTGCCACGTCCACGTCCTCTGCCTCGTCCGCGTCCCGCCACTGAGGAGACGCATGAACACATTTAAACATTACCAGAGGAAATGGAGCGAGCAAAACATAATTATAGCAACCTTTAAACTCAATAACACATTGAAGATTGGGCCAAAATGTAGCAAAATCTTAAATAAATGATGAAATAACTGATTTATAAAGTATTTTTAAAAAATTGTCAATTCAAAAGCTATGAAATACTTTGTATCTATCAAAAAGTTTTCTGACAGACTGGAAAAGATTTCACAATAAAAAGAACCAAGCTGTAATGCATGTTGAAACATAGCTGAACATAAGGGATGTCTGCATTGAATTATTTGATCACAAACATTTAAACAGCTGTAAATTCATCCATTTAAACACATTTAATATTTTAAAATATGATGCATATAAATGGTTATTTTCTTTTTTTTTTGTGTGGCACTTTTGGTGCTTAGAATTGCAGTGTAGACTTTAGAAAATGTCCCAACTGTTTACTACGACTCACATGCAGAAAATTCAAATACTGAGAACAAAACAAACCACACAAAACACCGTGTGCAGCACGGGCACAATTATTTAAAGTACTGAGGAATTTGTTTAGCTTCCTACTGATGATAAAAAAAGCATTTTTAATTTTACATGCATATCATACATGAGACATGTAATGGTTAATAGATTTAAAATTCATTTAATGTGGGAAAAAAAATCAAGTTAAAGTAGAGCAGGAGGAAGAATTAAGTGTTATTGCAAGCTTTCTTCTTGATCTAATTGCATTTGAAATACAAATAACAGCTTAAAATGTTATTAAGCTAATTAAAAGCTTCTCTTTTCATATTACCAAGTTTGTTCTGAATCTCCCTAATATTGTAGTTTTCTGCTTGAGGGGTTGTTGGGATGCCTCTCACCAGCTTAATGTAACTTTGTGACAAACTGTAAACATTCCTGTCTTTGTTCTCGCCTCAGGAAAAATTCTCCTAACCAGAAATTAAAACCTCAAACGAAAGAAAGAGCTGATTTGAAATTAGCAGCAATGGTCTTTAAATTTCCCTTGACAATCATAAAACGGGAAATTTCCCTTGACAATCATAAAACGGGAACATTAAAGCTTAAGAGTTTCTTTGAAGAGCCTTTGAACCCAAAGGCTCAGGGCAGACATTGTTTTTGTTGTTTCACTTTCTCACCTGCTTCTCTCTTCTTGGATTTGATCTTGGGCTCGATGTCCACCAGCAAGGTGTCCAGAGGCAGGCTGTCCGGCAGGATGAAGTAGCGGATGTTGTTGCCTCGGATGCTCAGCGACTCCAGCTGGGTGGGCTCCCGGTTCTTCAGGGTCATCTTCACCGCCTTCAGGTGGGTGTTCATGCTCACGTCGACGCCTGCAAACAGAACATCACTCACTCATTCATCACCTGAAACGCAAAGAGTGGAACTTTCCCAATGAGAAAAGTTGGGACAAAACCCCTTTTAACAATCTGACTTGAAAGGAAAACAAAGCGGCTCTGTGCACCTGCCTGAAAAAGCACTAATTTAAGAGATTTTAAATAATAACTGAACCACCTCAGGTCAGCTTCTTAACTCAAAGAGGTTATTGCATTTGAAACACTTCATATTCAACAAAACCTAGCTATGTCTGCAGAAAGGGCTCTCTCTTTATATTTTAAAGTTTTTTATACATCTACATGCTTCAGCCTACTGCGAGTAAACTGGAGGACAGTACAGGTTGTATCTATCCTCTTACCTGTGATGGTGCCGTGGACCTGGGTGCCATTTTTTAGCTCGATGGTGACAGTCTCATGGCTGAGCTTCATCAAAAACCTGTGGGCAGCATTGAAGGTGGATTAAAACGATACATTTCTGAAGCCACCTGCGTTACTTGGACTGTTATTGAGCCTAGCATTAGCTCGTTAGCCTGTAGTATTAGCTTCTGCACGTTTGAGTTTTTAGCCTCACAAAACTCAAAATAAACACCGACTACCAATTTATTTTAACAACTAAACAAAACAACAACCCCGAAATGAACCACAGTATTTTTTTCAATAGCAATAGACCACGGGAAATGGAAAGACACAACTTTATTTAGCAGGTCAATGCTAAAGTACATTGAGACGGAGCGTTTCATTTGTAACACCGCTCAGCCTCCATTCATTAGAAAGCTCTTCCCGCCTCTTCGCGATCAATTCGCTCCTAATCTTCACCCATCCGTCTCTATCGGCTCGACTTTCTCGTCTCACATGCCCGCGCGCGTTAAACGGTGACTCCCTGTCGCCCCTTACCTGACTAGTTTCATGGTGGTGGCAACCAGTAGAGAGAAATCCTCCACTGAAGAGAAAAATTACAGCGATCGAGTGAAAACACAGGCCGCCGTTGTGTGTCGGAGAAACGTTTGGGGATGTGACGTCATCAAGTAGCGTCGGTGAAAAGAGCAGCTCCTGCGCTGCTGCCGCCTCGTGGCAGAAAGATGAACACAAAATGTTCAAATTCACAAGTTTTTACTACAATTTGTTGAATAGGTCTTTTCATTTAATCTCCGAAATGACAGGCACATATAAATAGTAAAGGTAATTAAAAACTAATGTATTAGCTGACAGTTTAGTATTTTTAAGGACGTTTGTCAAGTCAGTTACATTTACACCCAATGAGTATTTTCCATCTTATTACATTACAGCCACCATGTTCAGGATATTTGGTTGGGATCTTATTTAATATAATGACACAAATTTGACACATTACTGTGGATATAAATGCAGACAAAAATGGGGGTTAAAAAAAATAGAAAATACAAAGGGGTGATTAGAAACCCTCTGATCAAACTTTCTTTTTTGATGTCGGTCAGGTGTGCACTTGAGAGCTTGTTTTGGTAAGATTCCAACTTGACGACTCTTTTCAATAAAGATTTATGTGTGTAGGCAACACTAAAGCCAATATGAGAACTGAAAAATCCATGTAGTAGCTTCAAAAAGTGGCTTTATGACAGCCGCACTTTACTAACTTACTTTTCTAAAGCTAAAAGTGCAACGCCTTGGTTTTTAAGTAATTGTTGAAATAAAAGTGTGGAGGTAAAATCTAACATCGGCCAATTAATTAGTTGACTGTAATCAGTTTTCTACAATTGATTTACTATCGTCTCAGAACCAGTTCTACAGAGGCATTGGCTCCTTTCGCCCCCCTTTAGAGACGCTATGATCAACACATTTCTAATTGAGATCAGGTCTGTTTGACCTGATTACATTCTCGTAGTAGGAGAACTCCAGAAAGACACAGAAACACCTTTTCAGTTCTTTTTATTGAGTAAACTCTGCACTGACACTTTCACTTGTAGATTTGGCCACACATCAAACCTTTCTTGAGACCAGGCGGGAATGTATCAAGTAAAATCAATGAAGAGTGCAGTTTCTTTCTTCTTTTTCCCTTAATCTATGAAGTTGTTGGTTCAGCGCAATAAATTGAGAATACAGTGAGAGGGGCACCAAATGGTACTGGACAATTATTCAACACAAACAACCCCATTTTAATAATAAAAGAAAACTAAAAAGACAAAAAAGTGATAATCATTCTACTCCACCTGCCAGCTATGCTGGTGTAAAATGAAGACTTCAGGTTCAGCGATTCCGTTAAGAGAAAACCGACCCGTAATCTGAAACGTCACGGCTCGCACCGGTCCCTCTAACATCGCGATAATCGATATGTTAGCCGTATCATTTGGGGTCGTCGCGTCAGCTGCATCAGATCTTGAGCCATGAAAGTTTGACTAAAGCACCAAAGCGTCTCTCACCACAGCAGGCAGTGTTTGAATCTCCTGTAAACATTACAGCAGGGAATAAACGACGTAATGTTCTAGCCTGAGTGAATGAAACAAACTGAATATTCAGATAAACCTGCTGCTCATCGTAGTGTGAAAACCTCCTAAAAACTGCCTGGGATGCACTTAAAAAAATCAATCACGTCACTGTGGAGCTCATTTAGGACAAATGAGTATTTAAAGCGGCACTTCTTCCGTTTTCTCTAAATAAAATCTTTGCTCTGCAGGTTTAGAAAGTGAAAACTATAATAAATATTAACAAATACAAGAAAAAAGGCACACAGACCAATAAAACTCTGGCCTTAACT